TTCCTTCCTTCCTTCCTTCCTTCCTTCCTTCCTTCCTTCCTTCCTTCCCTTCTCCTTGCCTTCTTTCTCTCTTCCTTCTTTTCTTTCTTGTGCTGATACTGGGGCTTGAAGTCATCATCTCAAGCTCTCCCTTAGCTTTTCCACTCAAGGCCAGAGCTATACCTTCACTTCAGGATGAGTGGACAGATATTGTGATAGGGGTAGCTGCAATAGGAGCAGTTAAAGCAGTATTCATAATCCTTTCAAATATATAATCGGCCAGGTGCCGGTGGCAGATGCCTGTAATCCTAGCTACTCAGGAGGCTGAGATCTGAGGATTGCGGTTCAAAGCCAGCCCAGGCAGAAAGTTCATGAGACTCTTATCTCCAATAAACCACCAGAAAACTGGAAGTGGTACTGTGGCTCACATGGTAGAGTGCTAACCTTGAGCTGAAGAGCTGAGGGACAGTGCCCAGGCCCAGAGTTCAAGCCCCACGACTGACAAAATAAAAATAAAATATCTAATCAATAGTGATAAGCTATGTATGTGAAGTTGGTTATTAAAAATGGAAATATATACTATTTGAAATACCTGATACCAACAACTTAGGCTTTTTTGTTTTACTTTTTTGTGTGTGTTACAGTGCTGTAGTTTTGAACTCAGGGCCTTCCTTGGCTTGCAAGCACTCTGCCACTCGCATTATATCTCCAGCCCTTGTGGGGATAATTTTTCAGATTGTATTATATACTTTTATCCAGGGATAGTGTCAGACATGGATCTTTCTATATCCACCTCCCACCTATTTGGATTGTTGTTGTGCACCATCATAAAATCTCACTAGCTTTTCCTTGGACTGGTTTTGAACCTAGATACTCCCATATCTGTCTCCCATGCAACTGAGATTACAGATGTGTGACATCCCTTAACCCTTAAAAATAACAATATAGTCATATAGATATGCATATATTCATATATGTACATATACTCATATGTATATTCCTCTGTTCTTAACAAAATGCTGAGGATCATACAATGTTGGTTCCAGAGTTTTTGGAAGTAACAGTCTCTCTCTGTCTCTGTCTCTTTCTGTCTCTCTGTCTCTGTCTCTGTCTGTCTCTCTTTCTCTCTGTCTCTGTCTCTCTGTCTCTGTCTCTCTCTCTCTCTCTTTCTCTCTCTCTCAGTTAATCTTGTTAACTTGATTGGAAAGAGAGATGCCTGGGAGATTAGTAAAGCACGGCTCTGGATATGTCTGTGAGGACAGTTCCAAAGAACATTTGACCTTGAAGGTTCTAACCTAGTCAATGGTTTAATCCACTGATGAATTTAAAAGATAGTAATTATACAATGAATCAGGAGGTGTGGTTTAAAAGTGTCATAACCAAGAATTGAATGGAGAATTCAACAGAGAAAAAAGTAGAGAAGTTCTTTTTTCTTTTCTTTTTTTTTGGGCGGGGGGTCCAGTTGTGGGGCCTGAAATCTGGGCCTTCAGCTCTTCAGCTCAAGGCTAGCCCTCTACCACTTGAGCCACAGCGCCACTTCTGGCTTTTTTCTTTTTGCTTATGTGATGCTGAGGAATCAAACCCAGGGCCTCATGCATGCAAAGCAAGCGCTCTATCACTGAGCCACCTTCCCAACCCCTAGAGAAGTTCTTAAAATCCATAAAGTGATTTTTTTTCTTCAAGAAATCTTAAATCCTCCTTAAAAGTCTCAGTAAATCCCTTCTCATCCCCAAGTTTTGCCAACCAGTTGTCATTATATTCAAGTATATTCCATGTAGTGAGTATCTCAATATCTATTTTACTTAACTTTGGGAAGTCCATGGATCTTTTGAATAAATCAGCTTTAAGGTTTGTGAGTTTTTGTAAGAGAGGGAGACATGGGGTAAGCTGTGTGGCTCAAGACTTAATGAAGACTCCTGCTCTGCCTATGATCTGTGAGATAATTGTGCTTTTTATGTTTGAGTAGGAGAAAGTGAAAACAGACTTAAAAGGCACACGAGAAGAAGAAAGCAGGAAAATCAAAAGTCATTATGAATGTCTAAGGAAGTTAGAAATTGAAATCCAGACCAACGATGATAAAGTAAACATTTTGACTACCGAAAATGAAAAAATTAGAAAAGTAAGTTTATCAAAATCTCATTTTCTATAATGGTTTTGATTGATTGCTTAGATCAGCAACACTAAAAGAGAAAAAAAAATCTCTGCAGGTAAACTTTTTTTCAGTACTAGGACTTGAATTCAAGCTTCCCACTCACTTAGCTTGCTTGCTTAATTTACTTGCTCAGCTGGTGCTCTACCACTTGAGCCACATCTCCAGCTTTGCTTTTAGCTGGTTACTGTTTTTGGAGCTGGAGTCTCTCATACTTTTCTGTCAAGTGGCACAGTACTGCTGTATTGACTAACTTTGCCTGGTTTGGAACAATGTATGCATACAAACTATAGAATACAATGCATAATCCTTTGTGCAATCTTGTGTTGATGAGCTTATTCTTGAGTGTAGTCAGTCCATTATTCTTAGTTCTGTAAGTATTTCACTGTATGACTCTACTTCACTTTATTTAAACCCACCTCTCCTGTCCTTAGATATTTGGAGAGTTTCTAACTTTTGGCAGTATCGCCATGCTTAGTATAAATTTTTGATGAGCATACATAAACACACACACACATTTCTATTAGTTATCTCAAGTGGAATTGCTAGGTTATAGGGTTCATCTTAACATATCTGCAGTCTTCTGAAGGTGTCGCACCAATTGCCCTTCCTCTCCTCATTACATAAGGTCACTGGGAACTCCATCTTCTCACCAACATGCCTCTTCAATTCAGCCATTCTGGTGTGCACACAGTGGTACCCCACTAATTTGCCTTTCCCTAACAATTGATGAATATTTATATATTGCTGGTCACTTGAACCATCTCCTTGAAGAAGTACCTGTTCTAAATTTTCTACCTATTTAAAAAAAATTAAAGCTGTCTCTATCATACTGATCATTTTACAGCAAAAAAAAAATTGGTTCATCAAGCCCCTAAAATTAGTCTCAACGTACATATTTTAAGTTTTTGGGTTTAGATCTCAAAAGATTAAGGTTTGCATATTATATAAGATCCATCATTTTAATAATTTATGTTCACTAATTAGATATGCCACTGATTTTAATGCTCAGAGCTAGTGTACATATACATTGCAAAGAATATATAATATGTCTCCCATCCCAAAGGCTTGATAAGAAATGTACTCATGGGGGCTGGGAAGATGGCTCAGTGGTAGAACGCTTGCCTTGCATGCATGAGGCCCTGGGTTTGATTCCTCAGCACCACATAAGCAAAAAGAAAAAAGCCGGAAGTGG